TATTGGAGAAGAAGATTGGAGAATTATCAATCGTGTTGCTTGCGGTACCATTCGATCCTACCTTGCTAGAGAGCAGAAATATCCATACACAAAGGAAACTTCTGCAAGTAAATTATGGAAAGCACTGGAGGATAAATTTTTGAAGAAAAACAGTCAAAATAAATTGTACATGAAGAAGAGACTGTTTCACTTCACCTATGTTCCTGGTACCACGATGAATGAACATATCACCAGTTTCAATAAGTTGGTCACAGATTTGCAAAATATGGATACAACTTATGATGATGGTGACTTGGCCTTGATGTTGTTGGCGTCACTTCCTGATGAGTACGAGCACCTTGAAACTACTCTACTCCATGGAAATGACGAAGTTTCTCTCAGAGAAGTTTGTTCGGCTTTGTACAGCTATGAACAAAGAAAGCGAGAAAAACAGAAGGGCGGAGAAGGAGAAGCACTATTTGTGAGGGGTCGTCCTCAAAATCAAACGAGGACAAAGAAGGGAAGATCCAAGTCAAGATCCAGACCCAGCAAAGATGAATGTGCCTTTTGTCGAGAAAAAGGGCACTGGAAGAAAGACTGTCCGAAGTTGAAGAATAAGGCCAAATATAACAATGGAAAGGCCATTATGGATTCAAATGTAGCTGATTGTGATGATTCAGACTTCTCATTAGTTACAACAGAGTCATCAACATCATCAGACATATGGTTGATGGACTCGGCTTGTAGCTATCATATGTGTCCCAACAGGGACTGGTTCGTGGATTTTCAAGAAGGAAAATATGGAGTCATCCACACAGCGAACAACAGCCCTCTTACCTCATATGGAATTGGTTCGATACGATTAAGGAACCATGATGGAATGATCAGAACATTAACAGATGTTCGATATGTACCGGATTTGAAGAAGAATCTCATCTTTGTGGGAGCCCTAGAATCAAAAGGGTTCAAAATCATTGCAGAAAATGGAGTGATGATAGTATGTTCCGGTGCACTAGTTGTAATGAAGGCTAATCGAAAGAAGNATTTATTTTTCCTACACAAGAAGCAGAGGAGGAAACAAATGAAGATTACCCTCTGGAAGGAGAGCCAGTAGAGGAGATTCCAACTCAGGAACCTCAACAACAACTTGAATCAATAGCAACCAGCACCAAAAAGAACAATAACGAAACCTGTTCGTCTCATAGAGACGGTTGCTTGTGCAACCTCAATTGCAGCTGGTGATGTTCCANACATGCGCTTGGGACATGCTGGAGGAAAATCCTTAAAAACTCTATCAGATCAAGGATTGTTAAATGGAGTAAAGACTTGCAACTTGGAGTTTTGTGAGCATTGTGT